AAGCTTTTATTGACTGCAGAAGGGGTCTCAATAAGTAGGAGATCTGTTGCGACGGTTTAGATCGCTTGGAGTAATTCAAACAGGTGAGAAAAGCTGCAGGATGGGTGTAAAAGCGGAAGCGAAATGATTTACGCCCTTTACGCACCCCGGAGGTTTCCTTGCCGTGCAAAAATTGGAATTTCTGTGACCGGCAACAACTGTCGCACTCATGACCCCTTCTGGTAACTCCCGAGATTTTTTGAGCTTTGTGAATAAAACTTCAAGAGCATTGAAAGCTTGTTTCGCATTCAGTTCACCATGAAGCTTCGGGATACTTTAGTTCAACTTACCTCTAAGGTGATAGAGCTAACCAACCGTAATTTTACTTTTTCTCACATACAGGTATTGTTCGATCCCATGGGCCGCTTGAAACACTACGCAACTGTCTCAGACATAATGCAAGAACATTTTCGTGTTCGTCGGCAAAAGTACGAGGAAAGGAAAGATTATGAGACAAAAATGCTTGACGCACAACGGCGACGCTTGGAGAACCAGGTAATCATAGAAATCACGTTTTTTTATAAATTTTATTCCATTATTATTAAGCTGTGATTTTCAAAAAAGGACAAAGTAGGACAGAATACCCATAAATTATACAATAAACAATCATAAATTCGATCTAATCACAACAACTGATTAATTATTTCAATCATACATATGTAAGCGAGAAATCATCTGCTTAACCTTCAGCTAAATAGCTTCCTGTTGAAAGGGTTTTTCATGACTAAACAATATCGGAAATCTTAATTGTGACTCCTTCCCGTATTCAGAATAGGGCTCCAGCAAAGCTTTGGAATGATACCTGCCGATGGCCAGTCATGGTGTGGTATTAATAATAACAACTTCACTTTCTTCTTTCAAAGCATCTGCAATAGTGAATTGACTTCTAGGCTCCTCCTTCGGCAGTGGCTTTGTTTCTGGATTTTCTTGACCATTTTCAGGTACCTAAAAATATTAATGAAAATTACAACAGCGCTTCTTTTTCTTTATTAAACTTACAATTATGTAATTCCTATTATCAGGTCTTTGTGAACCCTTTGAGATCAAATCTCTAAGGGTGGGGATCCTTTGAAGGAAAAGTTCAGCATTCACTCCGATTGCTCCTGCGATTTCATTGGCTTTAACCATTATTGAGGCGTTCATTTGAGAAATCAGTTCGTGCTGATTATTCCTCACGCACAATTCCATCAATTCATTTATGAATCGATTGATCTGTAAACATTTCATCAAACTGTTTAGCGATGCGATACCCAAATTTAGTCTAACCCACCTCTTGAAATGTTTGGAAAGCTTCTATAGCCGCTGTATCTACTCGCTGCATTGTCTGCCAAAATACCGGAGCCGCTTGAGGTGTTTCATCATTATCATCTGTCAAGTCAATCACTTCTTCAACATGGTAGTCGAACTCATCTGGAAATCGCTACGTTGTTTTCTCTGCCACAATGCTTCCATTTCTTGTTTCGCTACTTTTCCACTATTACTGCCCAAAATCTCAAAGTTTCATTTTTCGTCGAAACTTTGTCTATAGGGTAATTCGATGCCCTGATTACGAATATGACATTCATTTTTGATGCTGGTGTCATTTGGCGCCCAGTTGGCGCCACTTGTCACGACGGCTGTTTTCACCAAATCGGTGTAAATTTTGTATAGGGGTTATTTGGGGTCCTGATAATGAATATGATATTCAATTTTGACGCTGACGCCATTTGGTGCTTTTTTCCGCTTCAACAGAAATTATCGTAAGCCATCCCACAAGATCTCACACACTTAACCTTTCTAATACACGATGCGTAATCTACTCACTCCGGAGGCTTCCTTCCCCAATAGGCCTTAGGCAACATGAATGACGGCCCGGAAGCGCAGAAAATATGCTTTAAACTCCGCTATTCCGAGAAATAAAGGCACATTCGTAATTAGGGGCCATAAGTTATGCTTCCCCAACAGAAGGATCCCTACCTGGTAAGGTATGCTCTCCTCGAAAACACTGGGGGGAAGGCAAGGCCCACCGGTTCTCGGGGATACATTGACATGCAATCGGAGGAGATATCCCCGTGATTGACATGCAGGCCGGGAGACAGCCGGTGGCATTGCCTTTCCCCGAGAGTTTTCGGGGAAGAGCATACCTTACCAGGGAGGGGTCCCTCTCCTGTTCGGGAAGCATACCTTACGGCCCCTGGACGCCAATAACCCCTACGTACAATTTTGCGACGAATTTGGCAAAACAGCTGTCGTGACAAGTGGCGCCAAATGGCGCCAGCATCAAAAATGAATGTCATATTCGTAATCAGGGCATCGAATTACCCCTATAGACAAAGTTTCGACGAAAAATAAAATTTTGAGATTTTGGGGCAGTAATAGTGGAATAGTGCCGTTATTTCAAATAATACCTGAGGGTAGAACTTCCTCACGTGGGCCCTTTCCATCTGAGCTTTCACCTGCTTCTGCTGCAGCCATTCGTTTAGCAGTTCGATATCTTCTTTGAACAAGTCCGTGGCGATGAGCCAAGCGCCTTAATCCCTATAGTTTGATCTATATTCAACTGGAGGCGGCAAAAATACGGTTACATGTGAAGAAGTTTCTGCTTAAATAAGATGACATCAATGAGGATAGCGCAATTCATCAAAAGTCAGCAAAATTTCAAGTAATTATAGGCACTATCGCAAGATATGGGGGCAGTGTGTTGGCAATACTTTCAAACCGCGTAAAAACTTCATTTGTTAAGATTTGGAAATGGAAGTAAACCTTAGGTGGGTGGAAGAGAATCTAGGGTGCGTGAGCCATTTCCCCAGAATCATAGAGGATAAACCCGCATCTTGCGATAGCGCCCAATAATACTTGACCATCACCATGGCGACGACAACTCCTATCTTCCCTTTTGCAGAACGATGAAGGAGGGAGACAGAGGAATATGTAGTTATGTTCACATGATAGATGAGAAAAGAAGTAATTACGAAAAAAAAACTGGTAGAAAGCAGTAAAATGATGAGGCTTCATTCACAGCTTGAGTATCGATTGGGCTGCATTTTTGGAGGAGCTACAGATCGCCATGTGCGTGTGATTCCCCACTTAGCCCTTCGGCGCAAGTTATGAATGGTCCTTCACAAAAGTATAAAAGAAATAACGAAACGATCATGAAATTTGTGTGAAGCCTCGCATTATGTTGTCGCAACCAGCAGAATTCCGGAGTATGGCGGCGCGTGTCGCCGCGTGCGGTCTAGAATGGAGCGCGGAAACGAGGAGAAAAGAAAAATCCACTAGTCCTATTCTCTTCTCCATCAGATCTGAAAGCTGGATGGTTCCTGTAATCTCCCAGACTATTCTGTGGTGCTAGTGCGCTCAGGGGGCATTGCTATGCGGTCTGGGCCCTAGAGGAGAATATGAACATCATGAAAAATGAAAACTGCTTGCACAATCCCTCCTCTATTCTTCTTGGCTTCGTCCTAGAAGAGGGGAGCAGGAGAAAGGACTGCTGAGTTGTTGGGCTCCTGTATACTGTAGCCCCCCCATAAGTGCACTAGTGCCCGCGCTGCTATTAATCCTGTTTCATGTGAAGGAAGGATAGAGACTATCGATCACAGTTCCCACTTTCAGTCTGTCAATGTTAGCACTTTATTTACATATGTATTCTTCTAAGTCAAGCTTCTTCTCGACGATTTTTAAGTTAACGGATCCACTTTAAAACCACATCATCTTGTTTGCGCTAATGCCATGCGAACTTGTTCCGGTAATATTTGGTTAGTGGTAGATTTAGACAATCAACTACTTTGTTAGCGGGGTACTCTGACATACACTATGCTATTGGTTAATTTATTTGTAAACAAGATAGGGGTATTTTTTCTTCTAAAAAAAGTCATCCAGCTGTGAAAGCTGCGACACATTTTGCTAAAAGTCCACTACGGTTACTAACCATATATCCTTGTGGCCTGCGACATTGCAATTCCGTACTTGTCGTTTGGGTCCCCAAGTATCATCCCATCTTTCTCGGCGAATTTTCGCCATAATCTACAACAAAAGTTTCGTACTGTCAAAGCAGCTGAAAGAACCCTTGAAAATTCACCTCGTAGGCATGTAGGCCTCGTTCTAAGCATTCTCAATATATCTTCTTGATCAGGTTTTGGAATTCGTAAGGTCGTCGCACTCACCACGTGGCCGAGATGACCAATGCAACCCTCATTAGAATACACGTCCGTCGGGGTGGTTCAACATAACCTAAAAAAGTATTTATCAAGGTTACGTGATACCAGTTACAAATGTGGCCCTGCTGCTCAGGTCCTGCAGTGGCCGATGTCAGACTTTGCGATTGGAGCGATTGTGCACAAATTGCAGGAGCGACGGATCGCTTGAGCGATCCATCGCTGCGAGCGACGGGAGATTTACACGGCCGACCAACCGATAATTCGGCGCCATCAGCTCGTAAATCTCCCGTCGCTCGCAGCTCCCTGCCACAACGGCCAAGGAGGCACATCACGGCCCGAGCGATGGATCGCTTGAGCGATCCGTCGCTTCAAGTGCGAGCGACGGGAGATTTACCCGAGCGGCGCCGTGTGTATCGGTGGTCGGCGGTGTAAATCTCCCGTCGCTCCTGCAATTGGTGCACAATCGCTCCAATCGCAAAGTACTCGGAAAAAAACCAATCGGGGGGGGCCCCGCAAGTTCCTAAGATAAGTAGGAAACTTACCCTAAGATATGCTGGACAGTGAGTCAAGAATCGTTTGCCATGTATCACACATGTACATTGTGTTTCTTGGATCCCGAGCGAAGCTCGCTTTTCAGCTCCCGACGATGCACAGGCTTCCCTTGACGAACAACAGGCTCCAGGTGAGACGTCTCAACTTTCGGTGACGCGTCAGTTTTCAAGGACGAGGCAGCTTCCGCTGATGGCCCGGCTACCGGTGGTGCCTCGCCATCCGATGAGGTCTCCACTTTTACTGACGCCTCGATTTCCGACGGTGCCTCGACTTTCACTGTTGCCTCGGCTTTGCATGGGGTCTCGACTTTTACTGACGTCTCGGCTCCTGATGAGGTTTCAGCTTTTCGGTGACATATTGGCTTCCACTGAATGCTCGGTTATCGTTGACGGCTTGGCTCCTGTACACACTTCGGCTACTGGCTCTCGGTCCATGAATTTCCCTGCTTGCTTACAAACATATACGTGTCGTCGGCCACCACCCTTGCAGTTTACGTGGTACCGCTTTGAAAAGCTTGTAATGATGAACTCTCCAGCGAAGCTCTCCATTCCTGAAACAAGTGTGTTCAGTACAGTTTGAGAACCCAATTACGCCTACATGTGGAAAAATGAAGTTTCAGAGGTGTCGTGGTCGCCTTCGAGAGCGTCAATCTCCACGTTCGATTCCCTTAAAAAGGTTAGGCTGCCTATCGATTAGTTGGTCCCACTTCCAATGGAATCCCACACATGAAGATTCAAAATGGCGATGAAGTCAACTGAGCAGAAAATTCATTTAAGGAACACCCCCAGATCGATCTAGTGGGATAGAAGCGGTCGATAATGAATTTGTGGATGCCGAGTTGACTGCAAATGGAAAAGAAATAAAGAAAGCCGCCGATGAAGCCTTTAAGCGAAAGTTGCCCTTTCCCCGTGAAATAAGGAAGAGGTGTGGACAAACGGGTTCTCCGAACTAGCTTGTTCCACCGGCACTCATTGCTGGCACGTGCCACAAAAAATTGCGCTGCCAATAGCACATTGCGCGAGACAACAAAACAGCAGCTTTTCATCAAGGCGGCTACAGTTTCACACGCAATCAGCGCTACCGCGTAAGCCAATCACAGCGGACTCCACGGCCGCAAATCAGGTTAGCCCGGTCTCTTTAAGCCGCCTCAGATTCCAATCTTCGCGTCTTGCGCTCACTTATCATGTGCCATTGCGATCAACACACATCAAAATTTTGCACACACTGCTGAAGCTCGCTCACCCACTCGAAATTCTATCCCTTCTACAAGGCTAAGTCCTAGAGCTCCCACCTCCTTCCCCGGGATTTGGAGCCACGCCAGGCGCCGTTCTCCTACTTTCTGTGCCCTCCGCCATTCAGGGCAGGACCATGGAAGAAAGTTCAAGTAGACCGTAAACCCACGGGAGGCGGATCTCACGAGTTGGCACCTATCCTAAATTATTCATTAGCGGCTTTCCAGTTGCGTTAGAGCGCGAGGTGATAGTCTGCTTCCACTGACACTTCCAGGGCTTATCTGCTAAAACAGCAAATATAATCTGAGCGGGGATGTTGCCGTGAAATACATCGCTGCTGATTCGCAGATCGAGGTGTGATGCTGGGAGGCAGGAAGGCCGTTTGCGAAAATCCAAGGTTCCCTCAAAACTCGGGTACATCTGAGATCCTTCTCAGCAAAAAAGTTGCCTGCGAAAAGGCGACATAGATCGCTCTAACGTGCCACATCACCGCAGATCTTCGGGTACCAATACGTCGCAAGTTACACACATCGCCCAATTAAAATTGTTTTTACCTCGAACGCTGTGAAAGAATCGAAGCGTCCAGTAATAATAGTATAGTCCTGCGTGGGCGGGTTCGTAGTATGTCGATCACCGCAGTGTTTGGCCAGATCCCGGTAAGTATGAAACCGTTGAGCGCATCCTGGACAAATAACGCTCAACGTTGTCTTCCCAGTTGGGTGCACTTTCTGAATCAAATAAGAATTTTCACGGAAAATGTAGAAATAATGACAGCCATACCACTTTATGACACTTCAATGAAACTAAAGTGCTGTAGATCTTGTCGCAAATATTACAGCGAAAATTCCCTTTCTTGGATCGTATTCGCAATTTTTCCTCAGCAATTTGGTCCTCATTCCAAGAGTGCGATTTACGTAGATGAACGTATAAATGACTCAGATTTATGGGTCCATGCCCGCAAACCACACACATCTCAGCTGTGCGCATCTGAATAAATAAATAAAGAAGTCGCAGACGTTCACCGAGATATTTGAGTAGAAAATGTGCGATAAATATAAAGTGCGATACAGAATAAGCATCCTATTCATCAAAGACAAGCAAATTGGAGGTTATTTGAGGAATTTACAATCATTATAATGAGATAGAGCTGGGAATAAGTATCCATTGATGAACTGTGATCGTATTTTGCAGTTTGTTTGGTCTCGACTAACAAAACTCGGCGCGCAATTTTGCCAACTTGTGCGACCTGTGTGTTTCAGTTCTCGCTCGTTTTTTTGCTTTCCTTCGTTTTTAAATGTTTTCGAGGCAGCGCGCAGCGTCTTTCAACCTGTTGTGGATCTATGAATTCTTTTGATGTGGTGTTTTATAACTCTTTAAAGGAAGTTTGGAAAAGTATGACGTTTGATACATTGTCTTTCTTTTAGTTGCGATTTGTGGAAGCAACCATTTCCGGTGATGTTCGACCTCATGGAAGGCACCTGTCAGAGCTTGAAAACGATATGAGATCTATGGGATTCGAGGATGATCCAGTCAAATCCTGGAAAAATGAGGTGTTTTTTGGAATCCTTGTGTTTCGTGTAAAGTGCATTTTCCCCTTAAGTTTTCATAGTGGGTCTCCAATATGAAAAGGGATCGCAGTGTTCTTCGGGAGGGGGGAGCAATAAAAAGGACTCTAGGACTAGCCTAGGCAGCAGGTACGAACTCCGGAATGAAAATTGCTTCCGCACACCGAGTTCCTCTCCCACGGTTACGGACCGCTTGAACTTTCTTCTATAGTCCTGCCACGAGTGGTGGAGAACGGCGCTTGGCTCTCCTTCAGATTCCAAGGAGAAGTTGAGAGCCCTGAGACTAAGTATTGGAGGGGGAGGGACCTAGGGTGGGTGGCGAGTTCAAGTAGCCCGTCGATCCTCCCACCTGAGTCCTCTCGTCTCCAGAGGCTTAGTCCCGAAACTGAGCGTTTCCGTAATTCTGACGCGATTTTCGGCACCCCCCCCCCCGAACCGCATTGCGCCTAAAACGGTTTTGTGTGGCTAAAATGGGATCTGAGGAGTAGTGGCAAGGAACCTGCTTACCACACGTCAACCAGGGTCTGGATTGCACGCCGTCCATCCAGCAAAGCCTACCATTCCTCCGCTATCAGTCAATTGGTTCAAATTTTGAATGGATGGAATCCTTGGCGTATCTTAAGGAATAACTGATCACTTCAAAAGCGGTATCCCTATCTTCGGAGTTAGGACCTAAATCAGCTCTTACTTTCAGGAAGCTGATCTATCCTATCTCATGAATATGCCACTGAGTCGTCTGACCGTGGAGGAAGTGGATAAACTCAAAAATCAGGTACAGAATAGCCGGGATAAGCTAGACAAGGTTGTCCAGACATCATGGCAAGATTCTTGGCTTGCAGATTTGCAAGCTTTGGAGAAGGTGAGTTCTGGACGAAGAGTTGATCTTTTTTCGATAGAATTTGTAATTTCTACTTCCTACTCAAGTAAACTGAAAACCTTATTTGTTACAGGAAGCCAAAAATTCGCTGCGGTACGACTCCAAATGACATAACAGAGATTTTTTCAGATTATTCTTTACTGTACTTACAAATGTTTATAAATTTATGTAAACGTTTTTTTCTTGCTGTATTGTATAGTTTCTTTCTCAAGTCACTTGTTTTACCTTGTTCATGTTGCCTTATTTTTTGGTGCATTTGTATATAGTCAACTGGTAATTAACACCTCCTAATTCGTTATCACTATTTCAGGTGTATTTTTGATACTGATCTCTGTTTCAATGGCATATAGTTTTATCCTTGCAGGGCAATTTTATTACGTTCGCATACTTTGTTTGCATTAAAATATAATAAATTTCTTCCAGTTGGTGTTGGTTTTAAAGTGTTCAAGGTTGTCTGAAGTGAGCAGTGAGTATCCCTGGGATTTTGTTTGCATGTCATTATACATTAGCGTCTTTATTCTGTTTATGTTTGTGTCTTATTTGTGTGTTCTTAACAAGGATGAGTGACGAAGATGATCGCACATGTTATGTTTGTAACTTCGTCCCAGAAGTAACAAGTGATTTGTTGGAGGAGCTGTTTACCCAGGTATGTCTTCAGAAAATTTTGAGTTTCTATGCGTTCTTTGCTTATTCGATTTATCGGTTTTTTTCGTCTCTGGAACCGCCCTAACGTCGTAAAACTCATTAAAAAATTCTTTACCTGTAGATTAGTTCAAGTGATGAAGAGGAACCTCCTGACCGTCTTGATGTTTCCAATTCGATTAAAACAGACGCGTTGATTCGATCAGTAGTGCTTTTTCGACCCTGTTAGTGTCTCCTAATCCTTTTTTTTCAAAATTGTCCTTCTCGATATCTCGTTGCATATTGTCTCTGTGCTGCCCTCTCTCTAGGCCGCCTGCCTAAATTATTACAGAGTTTTGCTAAAAGAATTTCTCGGGAGAGGATAAACGTAGATGTTTTTTCACTGTTGGTGTTTTCTTATATCATTTTTCCTTCATCCTCCGTTCATTGTATCTCTCCTTTCCTTTCAATAGCGTCGTCTTTTGGATTTCCGCTACTTTACGCTTATCAAGAACTCTCGCTAAACGAAAGCACTTCTTTGAGACTGAGCATTTTTATTAAGAGTTGAGACAGTTTGGTTTCAGCCGGATAGAATAGAGCAATCAACATCACACAAAAAGGCCCCTAAAGACCTACTTTCCAGATCACCCTTACTGATTTACTTAGCGCTATGAGCCCGTACTCATTTCCTACAACGCAATTGACTGCTTGCCAATAACTACTAGCAATCTTGTTTCATTAAGGTACGCCAAATCGTTCATCACAATCGCAGATAACTCTTTCACGCATTCATTCAGTTGATTACTCTCCAGGGATCTCATTTTCAGAGAAGCTTTATCAATCCAGATCAGAACGAAAGGCTCCACATGGGTGCTTAAGTTCCGCTTCTAAAGCAATCTATATGAAGGAGGGGGGCACATCTGTCAGAAAGAGACTGTGGATGTCGAGTTGGACCGAAAAATCAAAAAAAAACCAAAGTTAGACTCTGATGGAGTCCCTAGACAACGACTCCCTCTTTTTCTACCTTCAAACGAAAGGGGCATTTAGGACGAGTTGTTTAGACTTGTTTGCTCCAGGGCACTAAACCCGCACGAATAAGCCGCTACGTCGTAATCGACGTTGCGTTCCATGTGGTGTAAGCGCGGTATCTCGTCCATTAGGTCACATTAGCCGTCATTAGCTCACTTTGTAAAATCCTAGCGCCATTGTCACATCTCTAATACTCGTGTGCTATTCTATTCTGACCACAAAGTAGCTTGTTCGACACGACCTCATCTGGGACGCAAAAGTGACGAATCTCTGCTCTCTGAACACTACCCATTGATGAGAAATCGAACCAGCCAACCAACAATACACTGCACATACTTCGTTTTTTTTTTCTAATTTTTTTCAAAAGAATTACCAATTGGGCAGGACCTCTAGTTTGGTAGTCGGAAACGGACAATGTTCTTAATGTTCTACATTTCCATGTCGATTGCCTCTCAAGAGCGGGAGGCAGTACTATTTGATAATTATTAGACGGTAAGGCTGAGTGTATTTAATTCCAGAGATTACTAAAAGGCTTATAATTTAGTTGAAGGTTGGGTAGACATGGACATTGAAGGGAGACAGGCCCTGTTAGGGAAGCGGTACGAGATGCGTTTTGCGAAAAAGTCCATAGCGGTATGACATAGTCTTACTCGCTGCTGTGAACCCTCTGCACGATTTCTACAATTGGCTTCCCCCTTGCCTTTGGTTTCTAGACGAAAGCCAGAATAGCTTTCAGGTTCATGATGTTAGCAACAATGACTCACTTCAACGCGGAAGTCTACAGGGGAAACAATGGCCCCGTTTGCGAGTGTGAGGCTCTTTCCCTTGGTTTTTTCTTCCCAGCTGCACCTCATAGCGACTCTATTTTAATGCCCTGCAGGCAACCAATTAATCGTGACATCTGCCTTTAACCTCTGCCCTCCTCTGACCATGGCACCATAGCATATTTCTCTTTTTCCGATACCTCTCTTTTTCTGTCTTCGTGCACCAAAATGTAAAATAATAATAATAGTAATAATATTTTTATGATACTAATATTTGATAAAACAATGATATATTTAATGGTGATACGTAGTAGGTCGTTAAGGTGTTGCTTTCGTGCCAAGTTGTTACTTTTACTGCTCTCGTTATAGGTTGGTCCAGTTGAAAAACTTAAACTAACGGACAAGAATTCCTATCGTTTTGCTATGGTAACATTTGAAGATGAGGAGAGTGTACCGTTTGCTGTCGAGACGTTGGATGGTATCAAGTTATTTCAAATACCGCTAACCGTGAAACCACGAAATGGTTCTAGACATGTGAGTTTCTTGTTGTTCTGGAAATTCATACTTCAGGAGGTATTCTGCCTTCACTCTTTCCTTTCTTTATGTTTGTGTCTTTGCTTTTGCCATCCAAATTAGGTTTGGAACCAAAAAAATTTATAAGGTTGGTTATTTTTCCCAAAGCATAATCGGGAACAGCATGAGCCGCATCGGGCATCTTGAGTATTATTGGCTGCCATATTTCATCGTACGTGACTCACTTTTGCCGGGAGTAGCCCGGCTTGGATCCTCTTCTTTTTCTAACTTGTATCATGCGCGTAAGTCGCTTCGCGAGCGTGCGTTTAAATGCTGGTAAAATAACTGGATAAGGGAACAAAGCTGGGTATCTGTAAACCCGATGCGTGCCGCTGGACTTCGAGGGTCTCCGCGTCATTTCTCATTATTATAATTGTTAAGCTACTAATACTTGGATCTGGCATAGGCAACACAGTTTTTTTTTGGGAAATTGGATGTGCAGTTGTACCAAATTTGCCTCTCGGCAGGCTCATCAGGTGTTACGTACTGTTAGAGGAATCCTTTGTCATTCCTCAATCTTATCTTTCCCGTGGTCATTTGGCGAGTTTGTACCTTATAGAACATAAAGGCCGCTCTGTGCGCATAAGATGACGACACGACAATAAACGTTTTGCGATTATGATATGCAAATCGGTCCCATCCAGGTTTCCCCCAAAAGGCTCGTCGCGCGGCGACGCAGACGCGGCAAAGGACGAGTCGCAGCGCATACTCCTGCCATAGCCAGCTCCTGGGGTTCGTATTTAGATCAAAGAGGTGCACTTGGCACCCGCCCCTGTTGTGCTGCGGCCTCAGTAGTCGGTTATTTTCAGGGCTCGGTGGCCAGTGGTTCTCTAAAAGTAATGCCATCCGGTCTATATGAATCTATCGGTGCATAACGGATTGCTCCCTCAAAACTAATGGCACTAACTGTTGGAGCCGTATGGAGTTCTTACCACAAAAGTTTTCTCTCTTAGATAATCAATAAGTCAATCGGCTGGTAAATACTCGATAACTACTTTGTATTACTTTCTGCAGTGATTGGCCAATGAAAAAATAAATAAATAAATACTGTACCGGTTAGACATCAGATTAAATAGCGTGCACCACGCTACCTCATATCGCACAGCACGCGCTGCGACTCGTCCTTTGCCGCATCTGCGTCTCTTTCTTCGCGCGCGATGGGCCTCTTGGGGGACGGTCTACGGACAACTTGAACTCAGCCCTTTAAACCGCAGCGATTTTATGCTCTCGCCTGCGCTCTCACTCCTAAACAGCAGCTTATGGTTACTGGTAATCTGACAAATTCAAACTCGGTCACAGTGTGGATGGCTTACCCACTCCGGAGTCCCTCCTCCTTCCAAGGCTTAGTCCTAGGACTCTCATCTTCCTGCTTGAGATTTTGAGCCGAGCAAGGCACCGTCCTCCAATCGTCAGCGCTCTGGCCTTTCGCGGCAGAGAACGTAGGGGAGAGTTCAAGTAGTCACGTAATTTTGGGTGACACCCCATCACACAATCCCATTACCATTATTCTCCGTGTCTGTTTCGATTCATGCAGTCGGGATCAACCACCCCCGGTAGAATAGGCCGCGCATGGCACCATTAACCCTTTGACGACCGTGTGGCCCGCCGGTGGGCCACACTTTCGCTCGGTGGCGACACGTTTTTAGGGGTTTATTTTGGCATTTTTGTTTCAAAACTACACAAATACATTATCGAATTCGCGGAATAATGCGCTAATTACTAATAGTGAAATTGTTGGAGAGTTAATGATTATTGATGAAAAAATTTAGAAAGAAGTGAAGTGACGCATTCATAACGGCGGTCGTCAAAGGGTTAAATTCGCTGCATATCTGGGTCGGTAGATTGGAATTTATTGAAGGGTGTGTCTATTGTTGTCTGCTTTTTTATTGAGACAAATTATATGGGCTTTTGAGGTGTATAATGAAGATTTTGATGCTCTGGAGCTATACTTTAATAGTTTCTGTCACTTTAGTAGTATATCACTGAAGTTTTAGTGGTTTGAAGGTTTGGTCGATTCAAGTGATAGTGGAAGATCAGAGAAAACTGGAATCAGTATATTCAGTAGTGATCAAATGAGGATATACGGGTGCGCGACATATGTGACCAACCCATTGGGACCCAG